TCGTGATGAGCTTCTGGGAATGGTTCCCGATGCGGATCTGCTCCCGCCACAGCGAGATGTCGATCTTGCTCGGCTGAATAAAGTCCCGGCCGATAAGCAGGCCGAGCGTGGGACTGTCCACGACGCTGAATATTATGCGACCAGCGCGTCCACACAGGACGAGTGGGGCTGTGACGCGCAGCTTGCTCGGGAGCGCGCCGCCGTTCCCGAACCTGTAGACTTCGTTCTCGGGCTCCTCCAGGATCTGGTCGGCCAGACCCATCTTGGCGAGCTTCTCCTTGTACTGCTTTACCAGCTGAGCCCGCCAACGCAGAAGAGACAGGCAGTGTCGATCACGCCAACACCGTCGTCGTTGGGCTTCTCGCCAGCGTTGGTGGTGTTTATGGTGGGCAAATCTGGCACCACGCGCTCGGAGACCAGGGTCTCGGGGGGCGGAGTGATCGGACCTTCTGGATGAAGAATCACTTCTTCGTCACCGAACTCCACGTGGTTCTGATCGTGGACCTGCTCGGTGATGTTGGCCTGGCGGTGCGAGCGACCTCCGCCGCCTCGTCCTCCGCCCTTCTGCTTGGAATTCGGGGCGAACTTCCGAGCGCCTGGTGCCGGGCACTCCTTGTCACTGGTCCAGTGGCCCGCCTCGCCGCAGTCCCAGCACTTGGAGTTCTTCTTGCGCTGGTCCACGCGGCCCTGTAGCTTGCCCGCGGGTCGGCGCTTAGGCGAAGCCTTCCCGCGGCCCTTGATAGCCTCCCGGGCCGACCGCATGGTCGCCATGGCTTCGGGAATCGCGGCGAGCTCCGCCGCGGCAGCCTCCACCTTGGCAGAGTCGTCCCTGTCGAACACCTCGCCGAGGTCGTAATTGGACTGCTCCAGCTCGGCGCTGAAAGCCTCGAGCTCCTGGCGCGCGATGTCCTGGACGTCTGCCTCCGTGTCATTGTCGTCGCCGTCCTCCGAGTCCTCGTGCTCGTCCTCTGGCTCGTCAGCGATGTTGGCTGAACGTGCTCGGCTTGGCGGTGAGCGCTGCCAACTACTGTTTGATCGCTGCGGCCACGATCGTGACGGCAAGCTTGCGCGTCGTTCCGATGTATGGATATCGGGGAACATGCGCACCAGCAGGCCCCTGATGCGCTGAAATGAGTAATGCTCGTCCGGCAAGTTGCCTACGACGCGCTCGCGGCGCTCGGCCGTGAGCCCAGCCTTGCGTAGCAGGAACCAGCCGGCCACGTCGTCAAGCGTGGTGAGGTCAACCTCGTTCTCGCGTAGTTGTTGTAGTCCCGCTTCGAATCGCACGAGCCAATCCGTCATGCGTTCTCCGCGGCGGCGATGGTGCTGAGTCGACTCGAAGGACTTCTCTAGCGTCTCTCCCTTCTGCACCGGCTTCTGCTGGCCTAGGTTTGTCTCGAGATGCTTCAGCACATTCTCGATGCCCTTCTGGTTGCGATCGCGCTTCTTCTCGTTCGCATCCTCGATGTTGGCGTCCGGCGGCGGGTGGAGTTCCTGCTCCGTCATGTTGAGGGCAGCCGACCTTGCGGTACCCGTCAGCCGCAGGACTAGCTTCGATGCCAAACTTTGTGTCACTTCCAGATTCTCACTGAGCTTCCACAATTTTACTTCTTGCTTGTAATCTCGACACTTCGCTGGATCTCCATTCCAGTTTGGTATCACTGACTGGTTGTGATTGAACTCCGTCATCTTGTCTATGAATGGACTGCAAAGAATACCAGACCACGAAATGAAATTGAAATTGAACTCGATGCCGTAATCGATGTCGGCGCCTGCCGTGTCGATGAGGTGGTGGGGAGTGACACCGTCGTAGGAGAAGTAGCTGGCGTCGCTGACACCGTCGTAAGAGAAGTAGATGGCGTCGCTGACACCGCCGTAGGAGAAGTATGTGGCGTCGCTGACACCGTCGTAGAGGAAGTATGTGGCGTCGCTGACACCGTCGTAGAGGAAGTCTGTGGCGTCGCTGACACCGTCGTAGGAGAAGTATGCCGCGTCGCTGACATAGGCGTAGGAGAAGTATGTGGCGTCGCTGACACCGTCGTTGGAGTTGGCAGGGATGTGGGCGTAGTAGGCGTAGTCGCTGGCGTCGCTGACGCTGGCGTTGGTGCTGGCGTCGCTGACGCTGGCGTAGGTGCTGGCGCTGAGCAACAGCGCGAGGAGGCCGCTGGGCCTCGATTCCAATATGGAGTGCGACGTCGCGGACGTCGTCTTGGGTATACGGCCCCGCGGGCCGGGATAGCGAGCCTCGCTCCAAGCTGCCACTGTGATATGGATGGCGCGCGCGGCGCGACGATCTTTTGGCGAAAGAGAGCGCTGCTCAATCTATCTGCGTAGCTCTAAGGCCAAGGACCCTAGTTCGAAACAAAATGGCAGCGACAAGGCGGGCATGAGGGATAGAGCGGGGGAGCAGGGAAGGAGCAAAAGGGCACGGGGAGTGAGCGGGAATCACACCCTCCTCCTCATCCTCCTCCTCCTCCTGCTCCTCCTCCTCCTCCTCCTCCTCCTCCTCCTCCTCCTCCTCCTCCTCCTCCCCCGAGGAGAGGCGCCGATGCAAAGTGGCGCTTCACTGGAGCCCCGTGGCGGGGGGGCCGCCCACCGGCGGCGCAACGGCTGGCGCCCTCGGCGCACGTGCTCTGTGAGCCCCGTGCGGAGGTCGCCGTTGGGGGGAGAGAGGTGCGGAGGAGGAGGAGGAGGAGGGCGGAGGAGGGACCTCACTCGAAGAGCAAGACGACATAAAACTAAGATTTCGACGGTCTTCGCGGGTTTCTTTGATCTGCGCTGGGCCCCCCTGGCGGCGTCTCCGGTGCCGCCCATGGTGCGTGGCGCGCTCCGCGCGCCAGGGAGGGCAGAGGCGGATGACCTCGAGTCATGAAAAAATCACGACGGGCTTTCTATCTTCGGCCCTTGAGGGCCCTCGCTCAGCATCGGGGTCGTCAAAAAACGACTCAGGATGAGAAAACGGTCCCTGGAAATGGGTCGAGATCTCTGGGGGTCGACGTTGTGAAAAAAGTATGACGTCGGGGGTCTGGGGAGGAGGGACCTCACAGCAGGCGCGCGCCCGCTGCTCTCTTTCTCTCTTGCGGCATGCATCTTGCAGCCAGGTGGTGCGGGATGCTTGTCCTCGAGTCCGAAGGAGGGCGGAGGAGGAGGAGGAGGTTCAGGATGATGATGTTGATGGTGGTGGTGATGATGTTGATGGTGGTGCTGCTGACGACGATGGTGCTGGTGATGGTGATGGTAACGATGATGACTGCCTGACTGACTGACTGCGCTGTAGGTAGTCCTGTAGCAGTGCACCCGATGGGATTGCTGCTGCGCCACTGTCGCGGCATAGCCTTGGACGCGGCGAAAGGACGCCGAGTCGAGGCGAGCACATACGTAGGGTGAGGCACTTGCTGATTGCCGATGATGGCTGCGGCGCTGGCGACCGGATCGCATGCGTTCTAAGTCCCCCGCGGGGGCACTGTGTCCTCTTGGCAGCTGCCCTCTGCCTCTCGTGGGCAGTCTGGACCTCATCTGCCGGAAGTCTGACGACGAAGATGATGGTGATGGTGGTTGTGGTTGTAGTAATGATGATGATGATGATGATGATGATGATGATGATGATGATGATGATGATGATGATGGTGCACGCGATGGTGATGGCGATGACGCTTATGGTGATGATGACGGTGATCATGATGTGGATGCTGATGATGTTGATGATTGTGGTGGTGGTGATGGTGGTGTTGGTGATGATGGCGGTGGTGCAGGTGAAATTGATGGCGTTGATGTTGATGATGTTGTTGCTGAAAGCGATTCTGATGGTGATGCTGATGATGGTGATGATGATGATGATTCTGATAAATTATGATGATGATGATGGTGGTGATGGTTCCGGTGTGTGTTATGATTATCGCGGCGGAGGTAAGGATAACGACAACGACGACGATGATTGTGACAATGATGATGAGTATGGTGATGATGCTTTTGATGTTGATGACGAGGACGATGACGATGATAATGATGATGGTGATTTTGGTGATTTCGGTAATGGTGATGATGACTCTGGTGGCGACGAAGACGGTGATAATGACGATGGTATGATGCTGATGGTGATGTTGATGATGATGACGATGATGATGATGATGGTGTCATCATCATCATCATGATGATGCTCACATCATTATCATGATGATGATGGTGGTGGTGGTCATGATGATGATGATGGTGGTGGTCATTATGATGATGATGCTGATGATGATGATGATGATGGTGGTGGTCATGATGATGATGATGTTGGTGATGATGATGGTGGTGATGACGATGATGATGACGACGATGACGACGACGACGACGATGATGATGATGTTGATCATGATGACGGTGACGATGACGATGGCAATAACGATGACGACGACGATGATGATGACGGTGATGATGACGATGACAATGGCAATGACGATGCTGATGATGAGGAGGACGACGATGATGATGATGATGCTGATGCTGATGCCGATTCTGATGATGATGATGATGATGATGATGATGGTGATGATGATGATGATGCCAATTATGATGATGATGATGATGATGATATGATGATGATGATGATGATGATGATGATGATGATGACGATGACGATGATGACGATGACGATGACGATGACGATGACGATGATGACGACATGATGATGGTGATGTTGGTGATGGTGGTGTTGTTGATGTACTTGTTGTTGTTGCTGATGACGGGTAGGAAGAAGATGATGATGATTAGTATCAGCAGGAGGAGAAGGAGAACGAGCAGCCAGAGGAGGATGAGGAAGAGAAGAGGGCAGAGGAACACCAGGAGGAGGAGGAGGAGGAGGAGGAGGAGGAGGAGGAGGAGGAGGAGGAGGAGGAGGGGGAACAGCAGGCAGGGGGCGTGGGGAGTAGCTGGCGTTGGCGGCGGAAGAGGACGAGGACGAGGACGCGGACGAGGAGGAGGAGGAGGAAGAGGAGAGGGAGGAGGAGGGGGAGGAGGAGGCGCCGCCCGCGGCGGCGCAGGACCAGGCGCAGACTCAGGAGAGGGAGGCCGAGTGGCGCCACCCAGGCCTCGGTGGGCTTTTCCGGGGCCCTGGTGGGCATCGGCCGCGGGCCAGGCGGGGAGCCCCTGGCCACTGCCGCCGGGGCCGAACAGCCGGACCCTCGCGGGTGATGAAGTGATCCTCCCTCCTCCTCCTCCTGCTCCTCCTCCTCCTCCTCCGCCCTCCTCCTCCTCCCGCGAGGCAGCCAGACCCGGCCGAACACTGGGGATTTCAAATCTCCAGTCATGACTATTTTGCTCTTGTTGTTCTTGTTTCTGTGACCTCAAAGTTGTGATTTGTCTGTTTTTTTGATTGTTTTGTCATTGTGACTTCAAAAAAGAACGAAACAAATCATTCCCTATCTAGGCTCTGCCTAGAAGGGTTCTTACTCTCTTAGCTGAAAGGGGCCGGGCAGTGGAAATCGCCCCGGGCGGTTCCCCCAGTCCCCTGGGAGCGGTTCCCCCCAGTCCCCTGGGAGCTTTAGCTTTAGCTTTAGCTTTAGCTTAGCTTTAGCTTAGCTTTAGCTTAGCTTTAGCTTAGCTGTAGCTTAGCTTTAGCTTAGCGTTTCGCTTAGCTTTTCGCTTAGCGTTTAGCTTAGCTGTAGCTTAGCTTTAGCGTAGCTTGAGCTTAGCTTGAGCTTAGCTGTAGCTTAGCTTTAGCTTAGCTTTAGCTTAGCTTTAGCTTAGCTTTATCTTAGCTTTAGCTTAGCTGTAGCTTAGCTTTAGCTTAGCTGTTGCTCAGCTTTAGCTTAGCTTTAGCTTAGCTTTAGCTTAGCTTTAGCTTAACTTTAGCTTACATTTAGCTTAGCTGTGGCTTAGCTTTAGCTTAGCTTTAGCTTAGCGTTACTGTTACTACTAATGCTGCTTTCCTAGGGGTTCCAACTCCTAGGTAGGGTCGCACTGGGATAATTTGTTTTGTTCTTTGTTGGCCTCTGGGGGCCCTCGCCGGTTCCCGGGACCGTCCAAGAGCGGCTCAGGATGAAGAGCCAGGAGTCGTGACCGGGAAGGGGTCGACTTTTTCCTGGTCCACTCGTGTGGGCCTGGTTGAAGGATCCACGACGTCGGGGGTCTGGTCGGGCCGGGCGAAAGGGTGGGATTGGAAAAGGGGGGGTTACGAAATTTGCTGCATGCAGCTGGCTTCGGCCTCACCGAGGGGCCCATTCCTCGATACATAGCCGCCTCCGGCGCCGGGAGGCGCCGGGAAAATCAGCTACGTGAGCTGATTCTCAAACCCCCCCTTTGCTATCCCCCCCTGTCGCCCGACCCGATCTGGGCAAGTGGGCCTCGCGGTGCTGGTCGTGTGCGCGCCCATGCGGCGATAGCGGCGTTCGAGTGGTGGGGGCCGACCGTCGGGCGGGCCCAGGACTGGGGTCACCATCGCCATATAATTATGTCGGGCGTGCCCCCCTACGGGGATCTTCGACGAAAATAAAAGGTACCCCAAAATTACCCCAAAAAGGCAAAAACATGTTTTTTAAAAATAGTCCCCAGACTATTTTTTGACTACTTTTTGATGACTTTTGGGGTAATTTTTATTTTTCGTCGACAATCCCCCTGTAGGGAGACAGGCCCGACATAATCATATAAGCATCACATGGAGGTATCGACCCCTTCCCGGTGATCGGCGTTTCATCTGAAGCCTCGTTCTGACAGTCCCGGGGCCTGGCGAGGGCCCCCAGAGGCCAAACAAAAGTTACGCTACAGAGGAGCCCAACATATTTATATCATGTCTGAAGTGATGATAGCTGACATGAAACATGCGAGAATGATGCTGGTGGCCGTTGCCCCGCCGATACCATTGGTGACGCCAGTCAAGCCTTGGGAGCCTGAGTACCCTGAGGGCGACGAGAAACTGCCACCTTTGCCACGCTTTCCGAGCCTGGACCGTATAGAGACCTAGCTGAAGGACCGCGTCGAGAAAGTGCCACGCCTGCAACACTTTCCGATCTTGGACCGCCTAGAGACCGCGCTCAGGGACCACCCCCTGCGCACTCCCTCTGGTGTCGAGAAAGTGCCATGCCTGCCACGTTTTCCGAGCCTGGACAGTATAGAGTCCGCGCTCAGGGAACACCCCCTGCGCACTCCCTGTGGTGTCGAGAAAGTGCCAGGCCTGCAACATTTTCCGAGCCTGGACCGTGCAGAGACTGCGCTCAGAGACCACCCACTTCGCACCCCCAATGGTGTCGAGACCCCCTTTGGTGTCAAGCAACTGCCATCCTTGCCACACTTTCCGAGACTGGACCGTATAGAGACCGCTTTCAGGGACCACCCTTTGCACACCTCCCCTAGTGTCCGGAAGCTGCCATCCCTGCCGCACTTTCCGAGAGAAGCTGCCACCCTTGCCACATTTTCCGAGCTTGGACCGTATAGACACCGCGCTCAGAGACCACCCCCTGCGCACTCCCTGTGGTGTCAAGAAACTGCCGCGCCTGTCACATTTTCTGAGGCTGGACCGTGCATAAACCGCGCTCAAAGACCAGCCCCTGCGCACCCCCGTCGGTGTCAAGACGCTGCCACCCCTGCCACACTTTCCGAGCCTGGACCGTATAGAGACCGCGCTCAGACAAAACAAATAATACAACATGAAACATAAAAAACCTTCGCACCCCCTATGGTGTCGAGAAAGTGCCACGCCTGCCAAATTTTCCGAGTCTTGAGCGTATAGAGACCGCGCTCAGGGACCACCCTCTGCGCACCCCCTCTGGTGTCGAGAATATGCCATGGTTGCCGTGCCCTGGGAGCCTGGTGTAGACACCGCGCTCAGAGACCACCCCCTGCGCACCCCCTCTGATGTCGAGAATATGCCATGCCAGCCTTGCCCTAGGAGCCTGGAGCGTGCAGAGACCGCGCTCAGAGACCACCCCCTGCGCACCCCCGCTGGTGTCGAGAACCTGCCATGCCGGCCGTGCCCTGGGAGCCTGGAGCGTATATAGAGGCCGCGCTCAGAGACCACCTCCTGCGCACCCCCTGTGGTGCCATGCAACTGCCATGCCTGCCGTGCCCTGGGAGCCGGGAGCAGATAGAGACCGCGCTCAGAGACCACCCCCTGCGCACCCCCGCTGGTGTCAAGAAACTGTTGCGCGTGGACGAGGCGAGAGAGGAAGAGGAGGTGAGGAGGGAGGAGGGAGGGAGGTGAATGTGTTAGTGAGGGAGAAGTGGGACGCAGGGAAGACCTGCATGTAGACGCGTGTCTCATGTGCGTGCCGTGCATGTGTCGCGCGTGGACGAGGCGAGAGAGGATGGACAGGTGAGGAGGGAGGAGGCAGAGAGGTGAGTGCGTGAGTGTGTGAGTGAGACGCGGGTGCGCCGTGGGTGGGAAGAAAACAAGCATGTGGGGAACAAAAACCTCCCGTCGTGATGACCGAGAGGGTTTGGGTGTTCAGCCCCAGCGGCCAACGCCATGGGCTCCCAGCCTGGCCGGCGGCCGATGCCCACCAGGACTCCAGGCCCCGGAATGAGCCCGCCGAGGCTTGGGTGGCACCTTTCGGCCTTCTACTCCCAACTGTCCGCTCGGTCCGGCGCCGCCACTCCCCCCATCTTCCTCCACCACCTCCGCCACCGACGCCCCCCCCCCCCCACCACCCCCCCCCCCCAAATCCTCCTTCCTCCTTCTACCTCCTCTCCTCCTCATCCTCTCTTTCTCCTCCTCCTCTCCCGTGCGTCTCCGTCACGTTCCACTCCTCCTATCCAACCTTCCTCCTTCGCCGTCGCCGCCGCCGCCTGCGACTCACCACGACTCCGCCATCCTGCTGTTCCTCTTCCTCCCCCTCCTCCTCCTCCTCCTCCTCCTCCTCCTCCTCCTCCTCCTCCTCCTCCTTCAAGCCGCGACCCCAGCACCCTCCCCACCTTAGGATTGGTGGCCAGCAGGGTCATGCGTGTGAGGGCGCCGTCCGGTACGAATGTACCTCTACATCCCGCCCAGGCCGGGGGGGAAAAGAAGCGAAACAGCGAACACAACGCGCCTGCGCGGGCGGCCCGGGAGGAGGAAGGAGGTGGCGGGAGCGGGGGGCGGAGGTCAGTCGTCGTGTCGTCGTTCCTCAGCCTCTACCTGTTCCTCCGCACCCTTCGCCTCCTCTCCTCGACCTCCTCGGGCTCCGTCGCCTCCCCCTCAAGCTGGCCTTCTCCTCCTCCTCCTTCTCCGCCTTCTCCTCCTCCTGTCCCCGGGCGCCTCGGCTCAAGCCAGCCTCGGGGCGCCTCGGCGCCTTCTTCGTCGTCCTCCTCCTCCTTATCATTATCCTCTTTCTCCTCCTCATCATCCTCATCCTCATCCTCATCCTCATCGTCATCCTCCTCCTCCTCTTCCTCGTCATCATCATCATCAGCATCATCATCATCATCATCATCATCATCATCATCATCATCATCATCATCATCATCATCATCATCATCATCATCATCATCATCATCATCATCATCATCCTCCTTATCATCCTCATCCTCCTCCTCCTCATCATCATCAACCTTTTCCTTATCCTGCTCCTCCTGATTCTCCTGATCCTCCTCCTCCTCCTCCTCCTCCTCCTCCTCCTCCTGCGCAGTGAATTTGTGATGACCCGTGGGGCTCTGTGAGCGCGGAGGCGGAGAGGGCGGGGGCCAACCGTCGGGCGGGCCCAGACGCAAAACCATCACATGGGCGGCGCAGCAAGAACGAGGTCGTCTCTGCCGACGTTCGTGGAGAGGGCGGGGGCGTCACCTTCAGGCAGGAGGGCGG